AGGTACCACGCTTAACCCGTGGAGCGGACTAGGCAGAGTTTCAGTAAAAGAAATAACAGACGCAGCAAGGCGCGTCAAAAATCTGAAACTAAAGCCGCATCAGAAAGTCAACCTAATAAGGACATATCTCTTGCCCAGATATATCCATAAATTGGTAGCCAATTCCCCCTCGCTGGGCACCCTGGAACAAATAGACCATGAAATAAACAAATAATAAAAGAAATACTGCACCTCCATCCGTCTACAACCGACGGCATAATCTACACAAACAAAAACCATGGTGGTCTGGGTGTACAGCGAGTGGCAAACATCGTCAAACTCGCCAAGATAAGAAACGGAATAAAAATGACAATGTCGGACGACAAAGTCGTCCAGAATGCAATCTATGGGCAAGAAGAAACTCTCAAAAAGTATGCAGCGTCTATAAATCTGCAATGGCCATGCGAAATGGAAGAAATCGAAGCGGCACGAAAAAAACTGAAAAGAGCGGATACCGACAAATGGAAACAGCTAGCCTCGCAAGGACAAGGCATAAAAGAATTCTTCGGGGATAGAATCGGGAACGAATGGCTGTACAACCCCGAACTTTTAAAGCCGTCTAGATACCTGGACGCATTAAAACTAAGAACAAACACATATGGAACAAGAATCGCACTCCGAAGAGCGAAAAAGGATACAGAAATAAATTGCCGGAGATGCGGCGTCCAGGCTGAGACCCTAGGACACATATTGGGGCTATGTACCCACACCAAAAGCCAGAGAATAAGAAGACACGACGAAATTTGCGATCTAATAATGAACAATATCCCCAAAAATAATACAATCCTAAGGGAACCCGAAATTGTGGTGGACGGGGAAATGCGTAGACCCGATATGGTCATAAAAGACCATGACACGGTCTACGTTGTCGACATAACCGTCCGATACGAGAACAACGACTCCCTGAGGAAGGCTCACAACGAAAAATGCAACAAATACAAAAGGTTAATAGAGCCTTTAAAAATGAAATTAACCGCAAATAACGGCCGTGTACTACCGGTGGTAATCGGGAGCAGAGGGGCAGTGCCTCGAGCCACTATTGAGAATCTTAAAGTCCTAGGGCTCCAGAAAAAGCATGCCCTGACGGCTTCACTAATAGCCCTCCGATCGTCAATTGAAATGGCCAATCAATTTCTAGACTACGATCACACATGATCGTAATCAGCAAAGCCATATACAAATTATTACATAACACAACATTTATTTATTTATTTATTATCCACACATCTTTTACTAACTATTTATCTATTTATTTATTTATTTATTTAATTAATCTATTATTCATTTACAGCACTTGACGAAGCCGCAAGGCAAATCTCAATACTAATCAACGAACGAGACTTATGGTCGAAAATAATAATACGACAAGGTAGCTGCCAGCTGATTGACACTTAGCCCGTCTCGGCCTTTTACACCGAGCGGTGCGAGTCCTGACGCACTATTGTGCGTAAAGGGCGCGGGGCAGGTTCTATTATATAGAACCTGGGGCGACGCCTCCGCGAGGCATTCCCTGGACAACACACGCTACGGCGTGTGGCTAAGAGCGCCTCCCGAAAGGGTCCCCGTTCCTAATTTTTCCAAGACCGCGGGCAGATCCCATGGCAGATTCGCTAGAAGTAGGCCCGCGACATAATCGAGCCTTAAAGTATGAGCCCCACGAGGAGGTATCCTCGGAATTCCGCCACGACCCCTCTGGTCGATGGCGCATAACC